CATCCCGCGCCGCCGCGGACCGCGCGCCGCGCCCCCACCGGGGCGCCGCGCCCCCCCGCCGTACCGCCGCGACGCCAGCTCTGCCCTCCAGCCAGCAATATAGTTGTTTGATTATACCCTGTCACTTCAAGCCAGTGAGAGTTCAGATTTCTCCTAAGAACAGTACCAGATCGGTTGGTTTTCTACATGTAGCATAAGACTCAGATTAGGACGGAGCACATTACAACAATATTTAAAAAGGGGAGCATGATCTGTCTATAGAATCACCTGTTAAAGAAATATGAGAGCTGCTGCCAATTAATGCAGACAATATTGAATTAAATCCACAATTTCTTTATGTTAGAATAAGGCAATGTTACATGAATCCTTTTCTATCTCATACCTTAATTTTCCATATCACAGAAATCAACTGCTTATTTTACCTTCCTCTTCTGTAGGTTACTGAATTATTTGAAATTTGCCACACAAAAATATTAATTCTTTTGATTAGAGCAATTTACAAAACATACCTTGTACTGTTGCAAAGTTGTTAATGGATCCCATGTAACTGACTGTTTAATTAGACCTTGTTTAGACTTCAATTGCTGCATTTTATGAACTGTCTGGGAGCTTTCATATATCCGGCAGAATAGCTTTTGAAAGAAGAAAAAAGCAAAAGAGAATTCAATTAAAAAGATGACATTACAAATTACTTTACATATTTTTTAAAAATCCATAGAGACACCATGAAATTTCATTTCCACTGTATTTCTTTATAGGATTTTGACAAACATGGATATAAAGTTACACATTCACATTTTTAAATTACCTTTTTCAGTAGGGAACAAATCTGTTGCCTCACTGCTGCTGACTGGTTGTTCAAGTTGTATCTAATAAAAAATTGTATCAGTTGCATTTCTTCTATGGAAATTACTTCTGTGCTGCGATGACTTTCACATAGTAAACCTAAAGCATCTATTCGTACCTTTAAAATTAGAAGCAAGTTTTTAGTTATCTGGTTTTTCTCTGAAATACTAACTCTAACATTTAAAATATTAAGACATGTACCTCATCATGTTGGTGAACCAAACCTTGTTTTATACAGCTCACAGACACAAGGCCATCTTGCATTATGACTGCAAACTGCAAGTGCCCATGAGCCCTGGCAGTTCTCAAGCATGCCATTAGGGCTCCAAGAGCTCCTCTGGTTTTGCAAGTTCCTTAATAAAACATACATAAATTATAATTAACAAAGATGTTTGTCATTTCTTTCTCAGGTTCAAAATGCCCATAAAAATCATATCCACCAAACAGATTAGCATAGCTTAATGTTTGCGATACACATGGATATGACTCAAAATAACAAGCGCCATCATGGTATTTAAATATTAAGGCTGTGCAAATCTTTTGAAAGGATATTTCAGAAGGCATGAGAGTACACACAAAACATCTCTCCTCAAATCACTGAAGCAGCCACTTCTAATCCCAAGTGTCTCTGCATATGTGTACATGTATAACCACTTTATTTCATTTTTTTCCCAGCAAAGCAAAGAGGCTTTGCTGGAAAGGAACAGCTTACAAAGCAACCATTTGAACTGAAAAAAGTCATGGCTGCTCTAATGACTGGAAGACATTCTATGAAATAATATTAAAGTCTCTTATAATATGAAAGTCAAAATAAAAATGTCCTTCTGTGGTAGGAGTTAAAGTTGGGGGAAAATCTGGTTATGTATCTTTAATAACTTTTATGAAGAAAACTAATAAAAGGGAGGAAACAACCAACTCTTCTTGGCTTTGTAGTAAAGAATATAACATTTATATTATTTATTGAAAGAAGACTTGAGAAAATAAATTCTAACGTATGTTTCCAATCATCAAGGGGCATCTTTACTTATGCTCTAAGTAGCTAAGAACATGAAACATCCTCCCCCACCTCCAACAAATTTATTGCCAAAACAAGTTGAACAGCACTATCACCCACCAACTCAGCCTGTTTATGGATATCTTACGCTACAAAATGTGAAGTATAAGATAAAATGTCTTACCAACATTAGATTCTGCTGAAATCTGAAGGATTTTAATCATATAGTTCAAACTTTCCGGGCTACATTTTAGCAATTTTGGTAAGTAATAATCTGTTACGTAGGTGGCTTGTTCTGGATTTCCATCACATAAAATCAAAAGCAGAGGAGAGACCCATGTCTCATGCCAACTATCAATCCAGGTGTTTTTTTCCAAACTGGATGTAAGATGCCTCTTGTGATTCACAAACATGATTTCCAATAAATCACTTGCATAAGGTGCAAAAGACTGGTCATTCATTACACCCAAGATTTGTGCAGGAATTGTTCTGTCAATTTCCAAAAGATTTTCAATGCCAATGCAGTCCACAAGACACCCAAGTGATGAATATTTGCCTTTAACATGCCATTCTAAACCTAGCAAGCTTTCAGTTAACTCTGAGAAGAAAGGGTCTAGTTTTATTATTGATTCTTTCACAGCAGTCTGATGTATTTGAAGAAGATTTTTAAATATTAGCTTGGTCTGGTGCCTAACTGCATCTAGTGGATGTTCCCAATATGCGTACACATAATCCAACATTTTACCAATGGTTTCTGAGTTTCCATTGAGATTGAGCTTCAGATTTCTAGAACTTGATTGAAGAAAATCCAATGCTACATTGGTCCAAATAGCTAGAATTCTGGATAGAGATGCTGCCATTACAGACTCTTTTAACCTTGGAAAAACAAACAGAGTAAAGCAGAATAGAAATATATGATCATATTTTAAAACTAACTGAATACTGATGCTCAAATATTTGCCAGGTGTCAAAAATGTGGATCATTTTTCCTTCCTCATTCCAGTTCTTATTTACATTTATATGACCGCTTCTGATTTATAATACTACTTCTTCATACTTTAATTATTATTTTTTGTTCTGCTCAATGTCTAATTTTTTTTTTCTTCACCATTCCTTTCTGTTTATGTGTTACATTATTTTAGAGTATATGCAAACTGCTCTCTGGATGCCTGCAGGCATATTTCTAGGGGGTAGGGAAAACTATAATGGGAGATGTGAATATAATTTACATTGTTAAAATCCTAAAGCAATGCTTGGTTTCTTCTACAGACTGAAAGAGGTAAACAAATTGATGCTTAACATAATTTGGTAAAGGTGCTCCTTGTAAGTCAAAAGGAAGTCCAAAGAACTATTGAACCATCTTAAATGCCTCTACAAAGTAAGAGGCAGGATATAAAGCTAATAAAAATACTTCCTGATTTCATTTAAATATACAGTACCACCCATTTTAGTTTGCAACCCACCCCTAAATTATGTTTTACAGGTAAAACAAAAGAGACTTTGGTATATTCACCATAAAGTCCTTTACACTGCATGAGAAAACATTAATTTTCTCCAACTGCATGATGTTTTCTAGAGAAATCCAATGATCATTGTGCCCATGTAACAGTAACAAGGACAGATTTTATGGCACTACAACAATGGCTGGATAATGCTATGAAGACACTGTAAGTTACTAGTGCAGAACCCAGCTTAGAATGAGAAAGATGCCCCCTCCAGGAAGAAAGAGAAAGGCAAATTTGATGTCTTGCTTAATACTCTACATACACAAACAGAACTCCCTCAAGTCCTTAATGAATTGCTTCACTGGAGGTCAGGTTTAACCTGCCTGCCCACTCCACCACATTTCCCTTTAAAAAACTCAACATGTCAGGAGATCACACAATACTCACTACTGCTGTATTGTCATAAAGTACTCTATAGTGTTTACATATCTTATCCAGCAGGACCAGAAGTTGGCACTTTTTAAAAATGAGAGCTGAAATCTGGGAAACCAACTGACCCCTCCCCTTACCCCCACTGTAGATGTCCATATTCTGACAGCTTTTCTGACAGAAGAGCGGGACAAACATGCTTGAAAAAATATAATAAAGGGTTGGGTATATTTTTCTAAGGTTTCCCTTTAGCACATGAGTCTACATATTTCTAAAACTCCTCCATTTTAGAAACCTATCCAGTCTAAAAATAACTTCAGACTGGTTTTAGACTAGTTTCAAGTTCAACTCTGGCTAAAGATAAAATATAGAAATACTTATGTAGGTTTCTTTTCTACATGTTCTACCACCGGTGGTGTATCCAATTGTGTTAATGAAAAATATGCATGTGTAGATCCAGCTCTCCCTCTCCCCTGCCTTACTCCCTGGCTCCCTAAAGTGCTTTAGAAGATTAGGGAGCCCTATAGAAAAGAACTGGGGAACACGGGAGAGGTAGAAAGGAAAATAAGGGAAAACTCTGACTGTAATAGGAGAAATTATCCTCATAATACTAAATAGAACCATTTTCCCATGAAGCTAACAGTGCTTGTTCCCAGATAAGCAGATATAAGATTGTAGCCATAGGGAGACATTTATACATAATACTCCTGCCTGTTTTCCCTACAACAACAATCCTGTGAGGTAGGTTGGGCTGAGAGAAAGTGATTGGCCCAAAATACCCTAGCTAGCTTTCATGCCTAAGGCAGGCCTAGAATTCAGTCTCTATGCCAGCACCTTAAATACTACACCAATATACTTCTAAATATACTATTTATGATATATTTCAACATTCACAGGATTTACAGTGCAAACTGAGCCTTGCCAAGGATGAATCTGAGTTTCATCTATATCATTAAAACTATAAAAAATAAAAGTAGTTTTTACCGTGTGCTCAAGGTCAACAAAACAGAGGCTATATCCAAGAGTAGTTTCTCTGCATTCTCTCCCATGCTGTTATCTTTCCACTCTAACATAGCAAGTGCTCCATGACAAAGAAAAAGGAGGACTGAGTCAGAAAGTTCAGCAGTACAAAGACCACCACAGCTGTCCACAAACCACTTTGGCACATCAGAAGAGTTTAGTAAGCCACAAATCAAGTCACTGATCTGCAAAAAGCAATGTAATATAACCGTAATATAAGAGGAAAAAAAGCAAACCAAAAAGTATGGTTTATCAGATCATTGGAAGACATCAAAAAATTATAATACAACTGGCAAAATGCAAATGTTATTTTTTTTATAAAGCTAGCTCATGCTGAATGGAAATTCAATTTTCTCAATTTTCACTCTCCAAATACATGTCTTATCAAAGTGCGTTATAAGCTATCCCCAAGCCTGTATAGGATTGCATCTAAAAAGCTTAATCGTGGTCAAAATTCGGACCTATAATTTGAGCAAATCTGGGGAACCAAGATTACATTTGCAATCCTTTAAACAATCACCTGACAATCATCCCTGTGAATTCAGCAGGACTAACTTCTAAGTAAAAGTTACATGCAGTCCTCAATTTACGGCCATCTGTTTAGTGACCGTTCAAAGTTATGAGGGCACTGAAAAACATGACTTACAACTGGTCCTTGCACTTACGACCAAGCAGCATCCCCCCCAGTCATGTGATCAAAATTCAGGCACTTGGCAACCAGCATGTACTTACAATGGTTGCAGCATCCTGGGGTCATGTGATCACCATTTGCAAACTTCCCAATCAGCTTCCATCAAGCAAAATCAATGGGGAACCATGTGATTCACTTAACAAATGCGTGATTCACTTAACAACCATGTGATTCACTTAACTACCACGGTGATTCACTTAACAACCACCGCAAAAATGTCTTAAAATCGGGTGCGGACGCATGATTGATTTATTATTTATTTATTTATTAAATTTCTATGCTGCCCATCGCCCCAGAGGGTGACTCTGGGTGGCTCACAATTAAAAATGCCTTGCTTAATGATCACACCGCTTAACAACAAGTTTTACAGTCCCTATTGTGGTTGTAAGTTGAGGACTACCTGTATCTTATCATATCATAAAAGGGCAATATTTCCTGTAACAGAACTTACATAAAATATGAAACACATAACTAATATTGAAATGGCTACTCTTTCAGTAATTTCTCTTTCTTCATTTAGCTTAATGTTTCAAATACACATTCAAAATTAATATCACATGTACATGTAGTCCTCGACTTACAACTGGCCATTTAACGACCGTTCAAAGTTACGACAGCCTTGGAAAGATGCTTTACAGCCCATAAAACACTTCTGGCTATCATAAAACGCCACCCCACCCCCCACGGTCACGTGACCACATTTCAGGTGCTTGAAAACTGGCTTGTATTTACCACTGCTTGCCAAGCCCCTGCAATCATGTGATCATCATTTGCAATCTTCTCTGCCAGCTTCCCCAGAAAGTCAATTCAGCAGGCAGCTCTTTCGCCCCGTCCATTTAATGACCTAGAAGATCACTTAACAACCAGAACCGGGACTGCATGGATTGAGGTCACTGAGTGAACTAGTCACGTGGGTGTCTCACTTAATGACCACTCTGCTCAATGATCGAGATTCCAGTCCCAATTGTGGTCGTTAAGTGAGGACTACCTGTATTTTTACTTTTTTCAAAGGAAACACACTAACCAAACAAGGTAGCTTCTCAACAGGTTCAAACATAGTCTTAATAAAGAGAACAACAGCCAATCCTGCTGAAGTCTGGATAGTTTGTAGAAGGTCTTCTAAATAGAAGAAACAGATACTAGAATTATAAATGGCATTTAAAGTACTTGAGCACCATTCTGGTTTTCTGAAATAATAAGGCAATTCCTACTATATTTTCTTTTTGTATTGCATCCATCACACTAATTCTCATAAGCACAGTGAAGAAAATCATCAACATCAATACATACAGCGGTCTCAACTGTCCATCAAGTTATGCTAAATTATTATTTGTTTCTTGCTTGGCATGTTGTATAAACACAGGTAATTGTGTTTTCTTCAATAAACAAGTATAATAAAATACATGACTTAATATGATACATGAACCCAGCCACTGGTAAGATCCTTGATTGAATTCCAACTAGGACTAAGAGTAGCTCTTCCATAAACAGAATGTTCCTTCCATTTTCAGAAAAGACTACAAACCACAATATGCTGCCACATACAAAAGGAGGGGATTGTTAACAACTGCTCCCTCTCCTGCAATTTCCCAAACCATCTTTTGTGCTGTTCCATATAATTCATTCGTTCGTTCGTTCATTTAACTTGATGCATATCGCTGTGCATCTTGCACAAGTGACTGTGGCTGGCAGGGTTAAAAACATCAATATAAAAATTAAGAAAATGAAAATAAATACACAACATGAATACAGCAAATGAATGGCATCATATGGTCCTCCAAACTTGCAGAGCAGATCTTCAAGGAGTTTTAGACAAAGTGAAGGAAATAACTACAGGTAGTCCTCACTTACTGACCACAACTGGGACCAGCAATTCAGTTGCTAAGCGCCATGGTCACCAAGCAAAAAAGCACATGACTGTGCTGGACGTATGACATCACTTCCACTTCCGTTGTTAAGCAAATCTCAGCAGTTATCTAGTGAGACGTCATGTGACCATGACTTGCAATTTCACTTCCACATTCTCCATTAATTCTGCTTGTTGCAAGGATTGGTCGCAAAGCTGGGGGTTTTTTTCCCTAGCCATCGTAATTTTGAACGGTTGCTAAACAAGGTGGTCAGTAAGTGAGGACTACTTGTATCCCTTTGGCAAGCAGAATTTCATTCACAGAACTTTTAAAATCCAACCCAAGTAAAAAAAAAAAAAAAAGCAAGAGTGATGTTATTTCAGTATGAAGGTTTTTATTCCTGAGTTTTTTTATTCCTGACTTTCTCTCCCTTTTGAAATAAACTGTTAAAGAAAATTTAAAATGAGAGGGTGAACAAGTATCTCACATTACTCCAGACAACTACTTGTTATTAAAGGCCAATGACCAACAAACGGTAAAGCAGCTTTAAAAACTTAAAATATTAGCACTATTTACCATTATTTAAGAAGCATATAAAGCTGTTCAGAAGTCCACACATACATTGCCAAATGGGAGAATCCAATTTCTTCCAAAAACATCCCTGCATATTTTCCAGAATTTTTTGGATCAACGACATTGAAACTTTAATTCCCATAAGCAAATCATGCATCAGCCGAGTTTGAGCAATGTGATTTCCACTGAATTTCCTTTAAAAAGATACAAATAACACAAGTAACTTATTTCAGATCTGTTTCTGAGGATCTTTTAAAACCCTACAGAGTAGATTTTGGGAGCATGTGGGAAATGGCAGGGGCAAGAGACTCTCTTCCTTTTCTGATAATAAAAAGCTTTCCAGCATTATGGGAAGCTATCTGGATATAGTCCCATGTTTTAAAAAAAATAGCGTGAATGCCACTAATGATGCATTATTCTTGAAAGAGATTTCCAGAATGCAGACATTGCCACTAAAAAGGTGCTAATATGTTCCCACTCACTGCTCTGCATCATTTTCTGAACAGGGCTTCAGAAAATGATCTAAAGAGGTAAGTGTTGCGTAAGATAAATATTCATACCAATATATCTGTATATACGTATGCATGCATATGTGCATGTAGATTGATGGACAGAGATTCATAATGAACAAAATTAAATTACTTAATCAACAAGAACACATTACAAATGCTGTGGAGCTCTTTTTGTATATTTCCTGAACATTATCTTTTATAATGAGAATGTTTCTTTAAAATTAAAAACTACTGTATGCTGACATGCTATCTGTGTTTTGATTAAAAGTATATATTATTAATTGATTTTGCAAATGCTGTTTACTCGTAGTCCTAGACAATAAGTGAAAGATTTTGAATGTGTGAAAACAATCATTTGCCATTAAAAGAGTAATCTGTCCCCAAAAGGAAGGCTGGAGATTAAGAAAGTGAGTTTTCTCCTACAAATCAGTTTATTTGTTTACTTATTCCATTAATGAGTAAAAAAAAATAATGTAATAGCCAAAACTATAAGAGAACTTCCAAGTTACAGAATGCATTACTAGAACTACTTACTAGACTGAGATTAAAACATACCTGTTCTCACACAAATAAAAATCTAAAATGTAGGAATTGGAATACTACAGAATTGAAGTGTTCAAAATAGTACAAAAGTCTTAATTTTCATGTTCAGCATTGACATTCAGCCCAAAATTATGTTTTTGCAAAGTTCTAAGATGAAGATACTTTCCCAATGTAGAATAAAAATCCTAACTCGTTGGGAAGAATTTGCAGAATGTTTAAATTGACTCAATATCAGTATTCAAAAATTTTATCACTTAGATTTCAAAACTGTTTTGATAAACTTTATACCAATAAACCAAACAAAGTACAACTGAACTCAAGGCATATACTGTATCTCAACATCAAACCGCTACAGCTCATTGGCCTTAAGAATTTTTTTAAAAAAATAAAAGGTGTCCTCCCAAATAACCTTTAAATTTGCATTTTACATTTTTCACACTCTCTCCACATTTTACCTTGAGTACTGGCACTTACCGGTTTTCTTCTTCTATTTCAAGTATAGATTTCAACAGAAATTGAAGAGCTATGGAAATAAAGTTAATAAATATATAAACTATTATTTAATAACACCAACTTGTCATATATAAAAGCTAAGTCAACTTATAGAAATAGCACTACATTGAAGTATCAGAATGGTTAGGTTTTTTAAGTGAAAGCAGCATAGCTCAGCAGAAGGGAAATACTTCCTTACTTAACATTTTCTGCTTTAAAATATAGAGAATTGAGAGAATTTTCAATATCCTCATCCTTAACCATCAAGTGTAATATCCATAGCTTCTTTATCCTAATGAACTCAGTGAACCATTCTGCATTTTGCTCAGGTATATACAGGTAGTCCTCAGTTACCAACTGCAATTGGGACCAGCAACTCCATACAATACATACAAATACAATAGCATTTCCTCTTATACTTCTTTTCTTCCCACCCACAATTCCCACCCCAGCCTCCCTACAGAATCTGAGAACTCTAGAACTGACTGCAGGGGCACAGAGAGCCTATTTCATAAAAGGAAACCCTTCCAGTCAAGAATCTGCCTCTCTTAAAAAAAAAAAATGTAATATCTCAAGATATAGAAAATGCTTTTAATTAGTTAAAGACCTAGCCAGCAACAGAAAAATGCTTCCTATAGAAACAGGTATCAAATATTTTCATCTCATATTCTTATCTCATTAACAGAACATTCCAATCCAAGAAGAGGTACCAAGCATTTACCTTCTTTGAATAGTTGAGTCACACTTGATTTACCTGAAAAATTCAAGTATACATTTTAGCATCTTATACTGACTAACCAAAAATACATTTTGAAATATATAAAATATAAAAATTTAACCATACCTATATTGATAAACTCCACACAAGAAGCAAGATTATCCATAGTTTTTCTATAGCGGGAGAAGTTTGTAGTTGTTAATTCTTCTTTAAGGCAGACAACAAAACTGTCTGTAGCTTCCGCCATAAGCATTTCAGGAAGGTCATTTAGGCAACTGTACTTAAAAAGAACATTGCCAAATTAAAATGTAAACATGAAAAGTTTTAAGTTAAAGACCACACAAATGGATCTATCTGAGCACCATGATCTCTGTAGCATTATTATATTGGTTTTGATATGAGACCTCAAAAGAAATCAGATGGAAAAAGGAATATCTACAGAACAAGCAGAGAGTTAAACATCTCATTCTTTCTGGGGAAAGAGAGAATGTATTCTAAAAAGAAACAGACAGTCAACTGCTCACATCAAAATGTTTACATCTCTGAAATTACATGGCCCAAATTACACTTTTCCTCCAAATGTAAATATCAGAGGATTTGGAAATATAATAAATAATTTATCTGAAGGCAAGATATTTACTGGATACCACAAAATTCTTTAACTAAAGTTTAAATTATTATACAATATATAGTATCTCTATCTTTTATTTTTATTTATTTATTTATCAAATTTATATGGCTGCTCATCTCACAAGAAGTGACTCTACCCAGTGTACAGCAAAAAATATAAAACAATAAACATGTCAAACACAGCCATATCAAAAAGCTAAAAACATACACAAACAAGAGATTAGATCAACAAGGGAGCCACCTCAAGATCTCACCGGTCCCCTAAGACCCCCAGGCCTGATGACACTGACAGGTCTTGAGAGACTTCCAGAAAATAAATAGGGATGGAGGTAACCTCAATTCGGGGTGGGGGGGAGAGAATGTTCCATAAGGCAGGTGCCACAACAGAGAAGGCCCGCCGCCTCAGGCATACCAAGTGTAGTTCCCTGACATACAGGACCCACAGCATGCCTCTCTTGCAGGATCTGATGGGACAGGCAGATGTAACTGGGGAGAAGTGGTCCCTCAAATAACCTGACCCCATGCCATGAAGGGCTTTAAAGGTCAAAACCAGTACCTTGAATTGGACCTGGAAGTAGACTGACAACCAATGCAGCTCGCAGAGCAGAGGTGTGACATGTACTGTTCTAGGAGCACATATAACTGCCCGCACCACTGCATTTTGCACCAGCTGAAGCTTCCGGATACTCTTCAAGGGCAGCCCCATGTACAGCACATTACAGTAATTCAATCTGGAGGCGACTAGGGCATGAGTGACTGTGAGCAGAGCCTCCCCCCCCCCGATCCAGGAATGGGCATAACTGTCACACAACATGAATCTGGTCTTCGAGCAGGAGTCGTCAGTCCACAAGGACCCCCAGATTGCACACCAGGGCTATCTGGGACTGTACAACCCCATCCAGCATCAAACATGGCATAGTCCTGGAACTGGCAGACCCCAAAGCCCAAAGCCATTCAGTCTTGCTAGGACTCAGCCAAAGCCTATTATTCCCCATCCAGACCCTCACAGCCGTCAGACACCAGGATAAGACATCCACAGCATCACTTAATTTGCCTGGGGAAGAGATGTATCATTGGGTGTCATCAATGTACTGATGATACTTCACCCCATGGCGATGGATGATCTCACCCAGCAGCCTCATGTAGATATTGAATAGGAGCAGAGAGAGCACCGAACCATGCAGCACCCCACATAGTAGGGGCCGGGAGTGGGATATCTTCTCCCCCACAAAAAAAAAGCTTTTAAAAAGCTTTTGGGATTTCAAATACATTCAAAAGTTGTCAATGAAGACTGAAGGGAAAGAATAGGATTATAAAGCCAAGAACACTTAGGAAAACATTACTGACTCTTGATGGATATGACTGTTAAATAATTTCTAAAATTTATATATCATACAAAATCTTTTATGTCATACAAAGTCCACTACCATTTATATCATTCATTTTCTCAAAACAGCAATATTAATATTCCCTTGAAGAGCATCACAGAAATGTTAAGCACTTTCTCAGTGTAATATTTTTCCCATATACATTACCTTGCTAACACTTTCTTTAAAGGGTTCTTTATATCCAGAGATAAGAACATCATTCCCAAAATATCTAAACAACTTTTAACCATGTGATTACATGAAGACTTGGAGTCCATCTTCTCCAGTAAAGGCACAATCTGCAGATAACAAAAAAAGTTTTAAAAATAATGTAACTTACACTTTTTCAAACAGACTAAAAATATACACGTGTGTGTGTGTGTGTGTGAGAGAGAGAGAGAGAGAGAGATCAGGTTTATATAGGAGTCAGTAAGAAAGTTACGTATAACAGAAATGTAACCTGCAACAAAACATTACAGTATGGGCTACTCCACGTCAATGTTCTAATCAGTGAGCTTACTTTCAGAATATTTATTTCTAATCCCTTCTGCATGAAATTTCCATCTATCTCCCAATCCCTTGGATACCACTGAGCATTCTCAATCTTTACTGAACAGTTTAGGGTTTTTTAAAATTATTCTTAATATTAATTTAACACTTGTATCATAGAGTTCTTCCAAGCATGAAAATAACTTTGTTTCTTTCTAGTTTCATCTTTATCACCCAGCCACTATGATTCAGTTAAATCAGCAAATCTGATTTTGCTATTCATATTTATCAGCCTTTCCCAACCTGATGTCCTTCAGCTTTGTTGAGACAGCAGCTTCAATAGTAACTACTATGGGAGCTATATTTCCAACATACCTGGAAAGTGCCAGGCTGGGGAAGGTCAGACTACATAATGATTTGGATAATCTTAAAAAATGAAATACTGCTCCTGCCTGACTTTTATTCACAAGTCATGAATTAAATGGCTTGTATTTCCAAACGTACAGTAATTATAAACATCTGGAATATGAACCAACTACTAAACAATATAGAAAAAAATATACACATGCTACTTATTTATTTTTTTATTTAAAGAATGTATATGGCCGCCTATCTCACATAATGATCCTAGACAGTTCACAGCAAACAATAAAAGCAGTAACATAAAAATATGTCATATCCTTCCCACCAAGGCAACAGAACCACCTATACTATTAACCATTTGACTCAAACCCATCCTAGCCCAATGCTTGGGGGAAGAGCCATGTCTTCATGGCCTTCCAGAAAGCTAAAAAGGAAGGGTTTCCCCAAACCTCAGGTGGGAGGGTATTCCAAAGGGCCAGGACAGCTAAGGAAAAGGCACACCTTCAAGGTCCCACTAGGTTACAACATTTAACTATTATGTTATATAGCTTGCAATAACAACATTATATAAGTATGAACTTTTAAACAGTATTCACTGTGTTTTAAAAGTAACATTTGCACCAACACATCCTATTTTAAATTGAAAACTAATGGTTATATCCAACAGTGGTGTCCAACAAAGAATAAAAAACAGATTCCTTTCACTTCCCAGAACCTCCAATGTACACTCCAGATTAAAGACTGGGAAGATTCTTGAGCCAATCTGGCATCAAAAAGCAAGAGGATGCTCTCTTTCATGAGCAAAGTCCATTCATGCAATGCTGGATGCAGCCCTTAAATTAAACAAATTCATGATGCAGCATCAAATAAACGTAAGAAATAAGCACCTGAATGTTCTCATTTGGAAAAAAGACAAAGAACATGGCCAAAGTGAAATTTCCGTGTACAGCCATGCTCATTTTTTACTTGTATATACATAAAAATATATAGCATGCACTTAACATAATTCCATATTATTCTTTTTACTAATATGACTAAAATCAAACCTGTTTGATCAAATTAATTTGCTGAATGCCATCCGTCAACTGTGCACACTGTAATAATAGAGAGGCCAGGTTTTGTCCTTCAGCATCTGCAAAAGCTGCACATTGAGAAAGACAAAAATGCTTTAATAGTATACATACTATACATACATGACAAAAGCTATTTCTCACCTTCTCCCTTATACAGGGTTGCATTCACACAGTACACCTACATATGTATAGTTTACAACCCAATTTTCTATAGCCACCCCAGTCATTTGTTGAAATGGGTGGCTATAGAAAAAATAAAATAAAATAATTCTGCAGCTATCCCATAAGTACTAGCTTTGCATAAAATGTTATGCTGAAATGTGGTTCAGATTCTGTACATCATGCAAGTACAGCTTCAGTCTGTATTCATTATATGTATTTATTAATAAATGCATTAATTAAAGCATTCAAATCATTAAAAAACACAGTAGAAGTTTAAAAAGAGAACATCCATATTCTCACTGGTTCCAAATGAATTCTTGGAAGCCCCTCTGAGAAAGATCTAACTCTCTCATCCAGACACTAGGATCATCCCATTAACAATAAACTCTCTCTGCTATGGCCTCAACAATGTGAAAAGCCTCCATGAAAATGGAGATTTTTCCATTTGAGAACCTTGCTCTTCAATTCCTGACGGCTGCAAATGAAGGAAAGGGGACCCACAGGAAAAGACAGTGTTCCTAGCATGTCCCATTTGCACAATGTATAAGCCAATAATATTTTTCCCTTTAACATTGGGTGAACTCAGCCTGTGTGATTAGTTTATGGTTCAATGTGTTATGAACTAGTTAACAATCAGATGGTGTGTTATGTAAAGGAAATGCAAGATAATTTCCCTTTGTGAATTGCTTATTCAAATACTAATTTCACACATTGAACTAACACTGAACTAAGTATGGTTTGTTGAATTATTTATTTAATCAATTTATATAGCCAACTCGAAAACTGTGATTCTGGGCAGACTGCATATGATTAAAAAGAAAAGAGAAAATAACCAATAAAATAAGAAAACACTGAGGTCCAAATAATATATTTAATCCTGGACACTGTTCAATTGCCTGGGATCAAATATCATGATAAACTATATATCACAGTTTACAAACCACAATGGCTGAATTTGCACAACATGCTAAGCCAGAACCAAGCAATATATATTATGGCTTGGCATTCTATGTGAATTCAGCCACTCTGTAGAAGCTTTCTTCCTGCTCAAGCTGGCTGTAGCACAGTCTTCTGAGTTACAAAAAGCACTCTTCCATTAGTAGAAAATGTTGTAATCTCAGGCAGCTTCAGCAAATAAAAAGAAAGAAAGGTATTTTTCACCAATTCCCCCATGCCCGTATCCACATTTTGCAAACACTCTAGAACAGATGAGGGGAGCCAGTACAAGACAATGAGAAGAAGAACTTGGTGAAAAATACCTTCCCATTCAATTTCAACAGCAGCTTAATGATGCTGAAAGTTCCCGGCCAGAAATGGTCGACGCTTCAGCAGTTCAAGTCCAGCCTTCGCGTTAACAGGGTGAGCTCCTGTTTCCTCCCCAGTTCCTGTCAACCCAGCAGCTCAAAAACTCATGTGAGTAGATAAATGGGTACTCTCACTCTGGTG